ATACACGTGTATGCAGCGTGTGAAACACATGTGTGCGTGTGTGTATGTGTGATTGTGATTGAATTTATTTTGTGCATGCGTGTGTGCAGAGGTGGACGTTGTTGATCAAATGATGCAACACGATCTCACGTGTCTGTTTTCCCTCTTCTTCAGGTTCGTCCAGCTGCTTCGCGCGGCCATGGAGGCGGCTCCCTGAGTACCACAACAACACTTGTCGCACTTCCTTCTCGTCGCCAGCTTCGGCTGTGTGCTGTGTTGTCTCGTGCCTGGCATGGATCAAATCAATGAACCAATCTGAACAAGCGTTGCTGTTTGAGAGGGCGCAAAACAACAAGAGCGAGAGAGTGTAACAACACACACACACACACACACACACACACACCACACACACACACACACACACACACACACACACACACACACACACACACACACACACACACACACACACACACAGAGCAAAAATTACAAACTATTTTTTTATTTTCTGACCCCTTGGTTGAACCCACAAGTGCGTGCACTGCGTGAAGAGCATTCGCAATTCCGCGAACGACACAGCATCTCATTTTTCCGCACACCAACAGCAGACGATGACCGTGATGATGGAGGCGACTGCGCAAGTCGCAGATGCCGCCGTGGCCAGCGATGTTGCTGCCCGTGGTGGCGCTGCTGGTGTGACGAAGGAGGGCGATGGTGAGCCTGCACAGCCCCACACAAGCGAGGATGAAACGCTGTTGAAGGAGGTGGCCAACCTCAAGGCTTCCATGTCCGAAGCAGACATCGAAGCAGGTGTGCAACAACGCAATGCCAAATGAAGAAAATGTAGGGTGGTGATGCGTCTGCGTGCGTGTGCCTGCGTGCCTCGCCGTGTGTGTGTGTGTGCATGTGTGTGTGTGTGTGTGTGTGTGTGTGTGTGTGTGTGTGTGTGTGTGTGTTGCCCTTTCGATCTGTTCTCTGCCGCCTCCCCTCCCCTGCTCCCCTTTCTCCCTGTCTCCTGTTACACGACCTGGCGTACTGACCACGACAAACGATGATAATGATGATGATGATGATGACAATACACCATGGGGCAGAGCGTGACTTGGCCCATTGGTTTCCTGCTTTTTGGTACGGCGAGCGCCTGCGCCTCACGGAGCTGAGTGGACCCCCTCCAAAAGGTACCTGCAATGTGTGTGTGTGTGCGTGTGTGTGTGTGCGTGTGTGCGTGTGTGTGTGTGTGTGAGGTATACTGCGTGAAACGCCACCTTCCAAGCTCCACATGCCTGTCACATCTCCGCTCTTCTGTTACAGCTCACACGTGCACACTCATACGCAGACTTGAATGAGGAGGAGAAGCGCTTGCACAAACAGTATCGCGACTACATGGCAAAGGAGCGACGGGGTCGAGACCTCTACGTGAAGCGCCAGGAGTACGTGGAACCGTCGTCTGCTTAAACTGTTGCTTGATTCCCCTGTCGTAGCACACACGTGCGCACTTACACATGCACCCACACACGTACACACACGTACACATGTACCCACGTACACACACACACACACACGCACACACACGTACACACACTCACACACACACTCACACACACACGTACATACACACACACGCGCGCGCGCGCGCAGGGATGAGGCTGCCCTGTTTGAGAAGTTCAAGCCACGCAAGCGACGTGGTCCGCGCCTGCCGCGTTTTGCCGCCGCGTCACGCGAGGAGTCGAAGATTGTCGTCATCCCAACGCCGCAGCTGCTTCCCCCGCGTGTCCTGCGCATGCGGCACGGCGACTCTGCGGCTGTGCCCATCATCACCGAGCCGCCGGCACCGAAGATGGAGGGCCCTCCGCTCGTCTGCCAGGTCGAGTGGGAACACGACATCATCTCAGAGAGCGAAGACGACGAGCATGACGAGCACGATGAACGCAATGGGGAATTGAGGCACGGCCGATCGCACGGCATCAAGGCCCAGCCATCGTCATCGCTGGACAGCGCGCTTGGATCATCGCCAGCCTCATCTTCCGAATTTACCGAGGACTTGGGGCCCGAAGACAGCTTCCTCGGAGACGTGGTTCGTGTGTGTGTGTGTCTGTGTCTGTGTCTGTGTCTGTGTGTCTGTGTGTCTGTCTGTGTGTCTGTGTGTGTGCGTGTGTGTGTCTGTGTGTCTGTGTCTGTGTGCGTGTGCGTGTGCGTAAATTGCACATCGGCCGCACATCCGCCAACCTGCCAACTCAAACTGCACCCTTCTCCTTCTCTCCCCCTTCATCACCCCATGTCCCCATGCACCGCCTGCCCCACCATCACTTGATCGCTTCGCAGCCGGACGAGACGACGCGTCGACAGCAGCTGGTGGAGACGGCAGCGATTGTTGCACAGAAGCGCCTCAACGCCATCCGCATGCGCGAAGAGGAGGTACGGGCGTGCGTATGTGTGTGTACGTGCATGTGTATGTGTATGTGTATGTGTGTGTGCTTGTGCTTGTGTATGTGCATGTGTATGTGTGCTCCTTCCCACTCCTACTCCCCTACCCATCCCCCCTGCTTTATCAGTTCCTTCTTCCTTTCCTGTTCCTGCTTGTTGTTTGCTTTGCACTCGTCCCTCACCACTGTACACACCCAATCGCTGCTGCGGCTGCTTCGCATGACAGGAGCGTAAGAAGGCAGAACAGGCCAGGGTATGTCATCACCATCCTTACCGCATGCCGCTGCCAATATCAGCTCACTCGTTCATTGCTGTCCTTTATCTTCCATCACGTTCCAGTCACATCTGTTATTTACGTGCTCCCTTCCCACTGACCTTCTCCCTTCTGAACACCAACCACCCGTTCGTAACCATCTGTGCAGATTGCGCGAGGAAAACGACGCGTGCGAGGCAGACCACGAGCAGCAGAGGTGGCTCAAACACACACACACACACACACACACACACACACACACACACACACACACACACACACACACACACACACACACACACGACAGCATGTTCATCTGTGGGTGCCATGAATGTGACGCAAACACATTATGTTGACACGTCCTCTTCTCCCCATCCCTAGCACTTACCACCCCGAAATGCGCATCTGTCCCACAGCAGAACAAACAGGCGGACGCAAAGAAGAAGAAGAACCCGCCAAAGTCAAAACCAACAGCAGCGGCAGCTGACAGTGGTGGTGCTGCTGCCTCCTCAAAGTCAAAGTACGTCATACACACTCCACACCAAGCCACTTTTGTGTCTGTTCTTCCTTGTTCGCGGTTGTGTCTGTTCTTTCCTGTTTGCCATTTCTTCTGCACATGCTCACGTATACACTCACTCACTCACACACTCATTCACTCACTCACTCACTCACTCACTCATTCACACACACACACACACTCTCTCTCTCTCTCACGTATCCACACACTCTGCTTGTTTGCAGGTCGCAGCCCAGCAACGCCACGCGAAGACATGGTGGGCACATTTGCGCGTCCTTTGTCCCTTCCCAACTCACAACACAGAATACGCATTCCTGCATTTGAGTTTCCTGTTTGCCTATTCCCACACCTCAACCTCGCCAACACAAACACGTGCAAACACGCACGCGCACACACAACCCCCACCCAAATCAATCCCTTCCCCTCATCTCGCCTCACGTCGCCTGTTCCTCTTATCCGAACGTGCAGCTGATCCCAAAGCGTCACAGCGCCGCTTCCTCGTGGGTGGCCAGTCTGATGCAACATACACTGTCGACGTCACAGACTGTGTCCAGCAGGACCAGCACAAGCCCATGGACCTCCCACAGTACGCTTGCCGTCTGTGTGTGCGTGTGTTGTGTGTGTGTGTGTGTGTTTGTGTGTTTTGTGTGTTTTGTGTGTTTTGTGTGATTGTGTGTTTTGTGTGTGTGTGTGTTATGTGTGTGTGATTGTGTGTGTTTGCAATTGCCCTGCTTCCGCACCCATTTGTCGCAACACCAACTCCTTCATCTCACACCAACCACTCACACCAACCACTCCCACCACCACCAGGCGGTTCAGCGTGCTTGAGCCGCTCAACACGGCGATGGCGACGACGCGATGGGAGGATGAGGTGCTCTACGACAGCGAAGATGACATGGACCCAGAGGCAGAACTGGTCCACCAGAAGATGCTCCAGCAGGTACACAATACAACACACACACACACACACATGGCCCTAAGGGAAGGGTTCGTGGATGTTTCACTGCTACGAAGTTCTTCCTCGTGTCTGCCGGCCACCACCACCACCACCATTTTTGCTTCCACTCTCACGCTCCCCCCCCCTCTCCTCCTCCTCCTACACTGGCTGCAGGCACACAAGATTGTGCTTGACATGAACGATCCGCACATGGTGTTTGACTTTGCTGTGTCGCGGCCGCGGCGGCGCGTCGAGTATGTCCTGCAGCAGAACAAGGGTCGCCTTCGTATCCCGGACTGGAAGCTGGAGGAGATTGCAAAGGCAATGGCCCCAAAGGACACCCGTTTCATGAGTGCGTGGCCTTCATGTGTGTGTGTGTGTGTGTGTGTGTGTCGCGATGGGCGCGTTGTGTGTGGTTTTCTGCCACTGCGAACCGGCCTGTCGTGCACAGTGACACTCAGAAACGTGCAAAAACAATACGCCGTACTCATTCATCGCTGTCGTGTCCACATTGTTACTTGCCTGGCACATGTCCGCCTTATCTTCACTCCAGCGGATGACAAGTTCAACCTCTCTAACGATCGCTTTTACGCCACAAAGCACGGTGAGCTGCCGTGTCCTCCTCCTCTCACCGTTGTGATTTGTGACGATATCATCGTCGCTGCGCGCACACATGCTCAAGCGCTCACACACTCACACACTCACACACTCACACACTCACACACTCACACACTCACACACTCACGTTGCCCTCACTTCATCGACACACGTTCCCCCCCCCCCAAAAAAATCATCCCCTTGCGCAGAGAATCCGTACCACTGGTCGAACATGATGCTTGACCGGCCCGTCACCCACGCCAACCCGGCCCTCAAGCTCGATGAGCGCTTCTTCCCAACCCACCTCACCCAAAAGTACGCTGCAGCGCTGTGTGCATGTGTGTGCATGTGTGTGTGCGTGTGTGTGTGTGTGTGTGTGGTGCCTCATGCTTGCGGCTCGCCTCCCGTGTTGGTGAGTTGCCTCCACTCATCAACCCCACACCCAACCCATCATCAACAACCCCTCCACACACACACACACACACACACACACACACACACACACACACACACACACACACACACACACACACACCAAATCGTGCGCGTGCGTGCAGGGATCTGCGGTACTTCCACCGGCCGACGCTGCGAAACATTGTGGAGAACGAACGCAGCCCGCTCCAGAACGCAAACCTCCTCGAACAGAACAGGAAGCCAAAGATGCAGAGGTGCGCACTGATGGCGTGGGTTGCTAATTTCCCTCTGTGATTGTTGTGCGCTGGCCGATTCGTGTGTTTGCTGTACGCTCCCTGACTATTGACCTTTGCAATACTCCCTCACCCACCACACACACACACACACCTTCACAACACGACACAACACAACACGACACAACACAACACAACACAACACAACACAACACAACACAACACAACACAACACACACCCAAACACGCATATGCAATATTCTCTCTCTCTCTCTGTCTCTTGCGTTCAGGGCGACTGGCACGAGTCCTTTTGATGCGGACGACATCACGGCCAAGACGGGGCGGGTCGTGCTGGCAGAGTACAGCGAGGAGCACCCCTTCTTCATCATGCGTCCAGGCATGTGCACCGTGATCCGCAACTTCCACCGGCCAGGCCCAACCCCGTACAAGCCGCTGCCATACGGCATCCTCATCCCGATTGAGAAGGTGGACGGCTCGCCGTTCCTCGGTCGCATGGCGCGTGGCCAGACAGTGCAGGCCTTTGAGAACAACCTCTTCCGCGCGCCGGCCTACGCGCACCACATGCGTGGCACAGACTTTCTCGTCACACGAAACCCGCAGACAAAGGAGCTGCACGTGCGCTACATTGGCGACATCTTCGTGGTGGGCCAGCTCATGCCCAAGATGGCACTGCCCGCGCCCAACAGCAAGGCGGCGTCCGACCTGCAGCGCAAGCGGCTGGAGGCGTTTGTGTATCGCATGTTCTTCAAGCGGACAGTGCGGTCGCGAAAGAGGCGACACAGGCAGGAGCGCCCACGCGTGCGAATGGATGCGGTGAAGAAGGCGATGCCAGACCAGAGCGACACGAACATTCGCCGCGTGCTGAAGGAGTGCGCCAAGTTCCAGCGGCACGGTGCAGACAACGGCTCGTGGGAGTGGAAGCTGGACTCGCTGCCCACCAAGTACGACCTGCAGGCGAAAATCACACCGGAGGAAGTGTGCGCGTACGAGAGCATGCTGGCTGCCGAGCAGCGGCTGAGGGACATGGGGTACAAGACGGCGCTGATTGCCGAGGCCGCAGACGAGGCGCGCAAGGAGCCAACGCGCAACGAAGGCGACGATGATGAAGACGGTGACAAGGAGAGCGGTGGCGATGGTACGGGCGCCGTTGATGAGGCAAAGGTGGCGCCGTGGTGCCTCAGCCAGGACTTTGTGGACTGCGTGCAGAGCAAGTGCCTGCTGGCGATTGTTGGCTCGGCAGACCCAACTGGCACGGGCGGGAAGCTGGGCATGTCGTACGTGCGCATTGCGAAGAAGCCCTCCAACGCGCGCGTGCATGATCCCAACGCGAAGAAGAAGAGCGATGACGCCGTGGATCTGCGAAAGCTGCCGCTCGAGCTGGCCCGCAAGATCCTGATTGAGCGCTACGGCATGACGGACGCCGAGCTCGAGGGCATTCCTCGCTGGCACGTGATTGGCATTGTGCGGCGCAAGGCCACGGAGGAGGCAAAGACATCGTCGGTCGAGCTGGACTATGCGCGCAACAGCAACTCGGCTGTGGCCATGCACCGGCGCAAGTTTGAGTCGCGCTGCCAGGCGGCGTTTGACGGGCAGAACGGGTCGCTGGCGAGCATCGAGGAGGTGCCGAGCGATGACGAGGGCGGCGATGATGAAGGCGGTGAGGGAGAGACACGTGGCGAGGGTGACACGGACCGCTCGACCACAGCAACAGCTTCAGCCGCAGCCGCAGGAAAGATTGGTGGAAGCGGTGGTGGTGCCGACAGCACAAAACAGGCCAACCAGCAGCAAGCAAAGGAAAGGTACGCCAAGCAGATGGACGAGAGGGAGGACGATACGCAGTCGCTGGTGTCGGAGTCACAGGCGAGCGTGGTGTCTGCCCGCAGCGTGAAGGGCAAGCGGGACGAGAAGAAGAGCAAAAAGGCAGCAAAGAAGGCAAAGAAGGACAAGAAGAAGAAAAAGAAAAAGGAGAAGAAGAGGGAGAAGAAACGGCAACAACAGCAGCAACAGCAGCACCATGCCAAGCAGGGTCGCAGTGACGGCAACAACAATGCTCATGAAGAGAAGCAGGCTCGTAACAACACCATCACCACCAGCAACAACAACAACAACAACAACAACAACAGCGGTGATGGTGATGGTTCAAAGAGCAAGAACGGCGGCGATTCGCAAGGAGAGCGTCGGTCGCCGTCACCCTCGCCATCGCAGCAGCAGCAGCAGACGGGGCCCAAACGCAAGCTGAAGATCTACCGCGCAACGCTCAAGCCCGAGCACCGCGACAAGAAGGGCAAGGTCGGCCCCTCGGACGCACGCGCAAACCCGGAGTGGTTCACCATCCGTGTGGAGACGGTGGAGGACCCACGGGTCATCAGCGCGTATGTGCTCGAGACGCGCGCGAGACTGGCGGAGCAGCAGCAGCACAACCGCCGCTACGGCGTGAATGCGCCCGTGCAGAACATTGAGGGCTCGCTGGCGGTGAGCGACACGAGCACATCGGCCATGGCCCTCACGGGAACCAAGCTTCGGCTCAACATGAGCTTGATGCAGCAGAGCAGCGAGGCGGGGACGGCCAAGCGCGGCAGCAGCAGCGGTGGCGGCGGCGCTGAGCAGCCGGCGAAGCGAGCCAAGTCGCGGGGTGGAAGTACCTCCTCCGCGCTGCGTGCACAGGCGAGCGCAGACGGCGCCAGCAGCGTGTTTGGCGACACGGGCGGTGGCGGCGACAACGATGACGCGCGCTCTGTATCTTCACGGACATCGCGCACATCCAAGCGATCCGCACGCAGCAGGAAACCCGCCACGACAGCGCCGGCAGCAACGGCAGCTGCAGGCACAGCGGTGAGTGATGGGGACAAGGAGACGGCGCGTGGCCCGCTGCGCGTGCGTCTGTCGCTGGCCGGTGACAGCCGGGCGGATTCTGAGGCAGCGTCGGACGCAACGGGGACGGGACCGCCGTCGCTTCGCGTGCAGCACAAGGCGGCAATTCGCAAGCTCAACGAGACGCTCAAAAACATTCTCATGCGGGTCATGGCCAAGGAGGAGTATGCAGAGCTGGTGCAGCTGAGCCGGGCAAAGGCGGTAGTGCCGCCTGGCCGCGGGAAGAGCAGGCGCGCAGCAGAGGCGCAAGCAAAGCATACGCTGGACGACGTGTTAGGGCGTGCGGCGATGCTCAAGTTCAGGAGCCTGACGCAGTTTGAAACGGCCGTGCGTGAGGCAATTGAGGCTGCGCGCGTCGCGGGTGGTCCGTCGGTTGCCCTGGTCACCACCGCAGAACACATGCGAAAGGACGTGGATGACATGATCACGGAAGACAAGAACAACCCGTACGAGCTGGAGCGGCAGGTGGTGCATCTTGGGTTAATGCGCAAGCAGAGCAAAGGCGGCAAGATGCCACCGTCAGCGCCACCAACACCTGGCATTGGCACGCCGCTGACAACAGCACCACACTCGCCCGCGTCCACTATCGGTGGTGCAGCCACGACCACAACAACAGCAGCAGCAGCAGCGACGGCGACGGGTCTTGGTAAGGATGCGTCCGTGGGCAGTGGCGAGGGTGGTGCGACTGGCACACCGCTGGGCAGCGCAACAGGAACAACGGGCGCAAGCACAACCGGTGTTGGCAGTGGTGCGTTACCACCAGCCACGCCAACAACAGCACAGGCAACACCAGCAACACCTGCGACAGCTGCGACAACAACGGGAGCGCCAGTGCAAGGGCCAGCACAGGGCGCCCCTGCAACACCCGTGCAGTCGATGCCCAAGCTGACGTTCCGGCTGAACCAGGGGTCTGTGGTGGCGCCGAGCAGTGAGGAGGGCAGTGGGTCTGGTGCTGCGCTGTTGGACGACAGTCTGCGCATGCTGGAAGATGTTGATGATGGCAGTGCCGGCGATGGTAGCAAGAAGGCATAACTATGAGAGTGTGAGTGAGTGAGTGTGTGTGTTCGTGTGTGTGTTTATGTGTGCGTGTGTGTTTGTGCGTGTGTGTTTATGTGTGCGTGTGTGTGTGTGTGCGTGTGCGTGTGTGTGTTTATGTGTGCGTGTGTGTTTGTGTGTGTTTGTGTGTGTGTGTGTGTGCCTCGCTTTCGCTTTCGCTTTCGCTTGTTCCCATCACGCGATGTTTGAGGTGAGTGTATCTTGACAACCCAAAGCACCGGTAGTAAACGCAAGCAGTTTAACTCACGGCTCTGCAGCGACCACAACACCAAAGCAGAACACTGTGCATTCATACACGCATGCACCAACGAAAATGCAGCAAATCACATCACACAAAGAACACGAACAAGATCACACACACACACACACACATGAGAGGCCAAGCTATGTAAACAACGACGACCAGAAACAACAATGGGCACATCTCACAAGCGGGTCTCAACACACACTGCCATTCCATTCACATCCCACAACACTGTGCAGTGCGGTGCGTCATGCAGTCTGCTCTGTGCTGGCTTGTGTGCTGGCGCCATCACCACCAGCAGCGGCGGGTGTGGCCTTATCACCATCCTGTGTCTCGCTGCTGCTCTTCTTGGTTGCGGAGCGCGGGGGTCTGATGACGCCCTCACTGAGGTCGCGCCGCATGGCAAACGCATCTTCGCCGTCCGCATAGTAGCGGTGCTCCGTGTCGTAGATCCTGCGTGTGTTGGGGGTGGGGGAAGGCAATGAATAACGGGAGGATGAGAAGGAATAACGGGGAAGAGGGGCAATAGCAAGGGATGAGGGGAGATGGTGGGATGGATTGCTTGGGCAAGCCCTCATGTTCTCGTGCATGTGTGTATGTGTGTGTGTGTGTGTGTGTGTGTGTGTGTGTGTGTGTGTGTACAACAAAGGAGAGGCTGCTGCTCCCTCAAAATTCAACTCACTCAAAGCCGAGAGTCTTGTTGTACAGGTTGAGCGCAGCCCTATCCATCAAAGACAGAAGTGTTGAATGCAAGGTGAGCCGACGGCAGCCACAGCAGGAGAACGAACGTCCAAGACAACCAGAAGCAAGCCACAAGAAAGCCACAAGAACGCCACAAGGAAGCCATAAGGAAGTCACGAAGCCGCCAGACAACGACACGACCACAGGAACACACAACCACACAAACACACAAACACACGCAACCACATGACCACGAGCACAGGAAGGCAGGTCGCACCTGTTGCTTCTGCGGACGTGCAGGGAGCAGAACTTGGCGCTGTAGTTGTCCACCATGGCCTGAGCGGCCTGGTCCATGAGCTTCCGCGCGAGGCCGAGACGACGGTGCGAGCGCTTGACAGCAAGCGACGTCACGTGGCCAGTAATCACCTCGCCACCCTCTACAACAAAAAGGACGAGGCAACCGCGCGGGGAAGGAAACCGCGGAAAGAACAAGGTGAGGCGCATGCAGTCGAGATGGGAACAAACGTCATGTTGGTTGGTGAGGCATGAGTTTCAAAACAGAAACCCCCCCCACCCCCATCACACCTACCTTCGTCCATCTTGGCGAGCACATAACCAACAATGTCGCCGTTCTCATCCTCGGCAACGTGCGACAGCTGCAACACATGAACGTAAAAGAAAATGGAAGCATCAGCATGAAGCACCCGTGAGCTCGCGTTCACACACGACACAACAACACACGCACACCACACACGACACATACACAACAAAAACGACATGCACGCACACCACACACCACACAACACACAACACACACCACACAACACACAGCACGGACGACACGCACACTGACCTGCGGCCAGCTGAGCCCGTGGTAGAGGTAGTATTTGAGCTGGTAGTTCTCTGGCAAGCACAACAGGTTGCAGTGCTGCATGTTGATGAGATCATCAACCGTTGCCGTGCGAATCGACACCATCGCGCTTGCGTGCGTGTGGGTGTGGAGGTTGGTGGTGAGTGGTGAGCAGTGGTGTGAGATGTGACAGACGCGAGAGACGTGAGTGTCTTTGCAGCTGTGCGGTGTCTCTCTCGTGTTCGTGTTTTGCTTGTTTGCCTGTTGCTACATTTTATGCTGTTTTGACCCGTCAGCATGGCCAGCGACGAACGGGTGCGTGCGTTTGGTCGTTGGTGGTGGTTTTCGCGCCCTTGCTTGCTTGCTTGCTTGGGCCTGTGTGCTGTGTCGTTACACGACAAACAGGCCGTTGGCTGGATGGCTGGCTGGGTGGATGGGTGGGTGGACCTGGGGTGTGGTGCGTGCACGGCTGGTGTTAGGTGGCTGGTTGTTGGCATGCACGTTCGGTGGATGTGTGTGTGTGTGTGCGTGTGAGCCAGTGGTTTGCTCAGCTAGGTCCTGCATCAAGAGCACGTGGTCCCAGCCAGCAGATCGATTTGCAGTGCTTGATGATGAGTGTGCTCAAATCACACGAACCTCAACCACCATGCATCCACGACTACACTAACATGCACGCTTGTTAGGTGTGCGTCTTGGAGCAGACGCCCAATGTGGAGGCGATCATCACCGCTCTCCTGGACGAGTAAGCCGTGCCGCCGCCGCCGCCGCTGCTGCTGCTGCTGCGTTTCTGGCCTTGCTCCATTCATCTGCACTTCAAAGCTGTGAATGTGGCCTCAACTCCTGCGCCCTTCCCCCTCCCCTTGTTGTCTGCTGTGTGCTACCACCACCTTGAGCAGGTCCACGCCGCAGACGGAGTTTGTCCAGTTCTCGCGACGCGTGGTATGTGCTGCCGTCCGCGCATCAGCCTCTGCTGTGGCAATTGGAGCTCCTGCATCGCTCGCGTCCCTGCTGACCCTTGACTCACAACGCGACTGCTCTCCCCTGTTTGCTTGTTTTTTGCCTCCACAGATCCGGCTGGTTATCGAGGCCGGTATCAACTTCCTGGACATGGAGGATCACACCGTGGAGACGCCATCAGGTACGTGGAACGTGGGTTGGCGGATGGGCGGGCGCAGTGTGGGTGAGTGTGGTGACTGGGTCTTGCAACAAGTGACTCGGCGTGACTGCAGTATTGCGTGGATGTTCATGTGCGTTGTGCGTTTGCCATGCGGTGCTGGTAGTGTCCACACACACACACACACACACACACACTCTCTCTCTCTCTCTCTCTCTCTCTCTCTCTCTCTCTCTCTCTCTCTCTCTCTCTCTAACGCACACACACACACACACACACACTCACTCACTCACTCACTCACACACACACACGCACGCACACACACACACACACTCTCTCTCACACACTCTCTCTGTCTCTCTGTCTTGCCTCACTGTGCGCATCACCACTGGCAGGCCATCCCTTTCAAGGCCTGAAGCTTGTGCAAGAGCCGTGTGGCATCAGCATCATGCGTGCAGGTCAGCTCCCTTCAGCAACCCCCGTGCTTTTGTTCCCTCTACGTTTTGCGCTCGTTCAACCTGTCGTCACCGAATCGTATGCGCATGTGTGTCTGCGGGTGCGTGTTTGTATGTGTGAGTGTGATTACCCCAGTTCCTTTATCCACCTACGCACACGAGCTCACCAAACCGAACTCCACGTTCCCCTTCTCTCTCTTCCTTCTTGCACCATGTGGCGCAGGTGAGGCGATGGAGCAAGGCCTGCGGGACTCGCTGCAGTCGATCAACATGGGACACATGCTCATCCAGCGCGACCGCGAGAACCCGAGCAGCGACCCCCAGGTCAGCATCACGTGATGTATGTGTATGTGTGTGTCTGTGTGTGTCTGTGTGTGTCTGTGCTGTGCGTGCGTGTGTGTGTCTCTGTGTCTCTGTGTCTCTGTGTCTGTGGCTGTCTATGTGTGTGTGTATGTGATGTAGAGGCACACATGACCACGTTTCGCAAACTTTGTTCGTTAGTTCGTTTGTTCGTTTGTTCGTTTTTGTACCTGCACGCTTTACCTGGTGTTTCACTGCACCTGATCGCTCCTCGTTCTCATGCTCCCCCCCCCCGTCTGCATGTGTGCGTGTGCATGTGGTGCAGATTTACTTCCACCACCTTCCCGCGAACATTGATAAGAAACCCATTCTCCTCCTCGACCCCATCATTGGTGCGACACGCGCACATGCAGTGCACTCGAACCAACAAACCAAATCAAGCCTTGTTCCACCTCACACCTGTACTCACACACACGCACACACACTCTCTCTCACGCACACGCACACACACACACACACTGTGCAGACTCTGGCGCGACCATCATCAACGCGCTGCGCATTCTGGTGAAGGAAGGGGCAGAGGACAAACGCATCATCATCCTATCGGTGTTTGCGTCCGACGCAGGCATCGATAGGGTCCTGGGCTCCTTTCCCAACGTGCGCATTGCACTCGCGCGTAAGATGGACAACTGCCAGGCCGTTCGCTTCTCCAAGCGCTACTTTGGCACCTGATGACCCTTAAGCAACCCCCGCGCTCAGTGCTCTCCCTTCTTCCCCCCCCCCTTCCTTCCCTCTTAGATCGGTGCCTGGCTGGTTGCTGGTTTGTTTGCTTGCTTGTTTGTTTGGTTGGTTGGTTGTTTGCTTGTTATCTGACCTGATGAAATCCACGAAAAATGCTTTGTGCCCACGACCGTTGCTTCTTGCTCATGTCTCTGTTTGTTTGTTTGTTTGCTGTCTTCTCCCTCGCCCGCCTGGTATTCTTGTGCTTGCGTGTCTGTCTGTCTGTGGCCCGAGGCCCATGAAAAATGAAACGCCATGTTATGGAATGTGATGTGAGCAAGGAAATGGAAGGAAATGGAGTCAAATCATGTCATGAGATACAAAGCACAGTGATGGGTGTGGCCGTGCGAAACGCCACCAGCAGAGAAACAACAGCAGCAAAGCAGTACCCGCATCACTGAGCGGCAGCGCAAGAAAGTAGGCAAGCCATTATCAAAAAAAAAAATAACAACAAGGGAAAGGAAATGCACACAAACACACACACACACACACGACGCAGCGTACAAAAAAAATGTCTTCGTTTGTGCAGCGTATGTGTTTGAGCCCCTCTCATCAAGCCATCGTCACTGCCATCGTCACCAGTGGCATCATCAGGAGAGGTCGCGCAGTGCCACGTACGCGGGCTCCGTGGACCCCGAGCTGCGGCGGGAGCTGCGTGTCTGCGATGGCGACGACGGCGTGTTTGTCAGCGGCGGCACCGCAGTGGTGTCATTGCTGCCATCATTGTCATTCTTGTCGCTGTTGTCGCTGTTGTCGTTGTTGTCGTTGTTGTCGTTGTCGTTGTTGTTGGTATCACCAGCCGCAGCGCCATCAGTGCTTGGAATGGCATCCACTTCTCGCTCTTCATCGTCGTCAGCCGCGTCAGGACCGGGAGCATCCGCCTCATCCTCATCCCCTCCCTCTTCCTCGTCCGTTTCCTGCTCCTCCTCCTCCCCTTCTTCGTCGCTGGCATCATCTTGCGCGGGAACTGTGAGCGTCTCACCACCATCGCCATCACCGTCACTGTCACCATCAGCATCACCATCACCGTCAGCATTGTTGGTGGTCAGCTCAACGTCGTTCACATGCACCTGTTCGTCACCCCCATCCTCGCTGTCAGTGCGCTGCTGGTCGTTCCCCGTGTTGCTGAATGCAATGCTATCGTCATCATCGTCGTCATCGTCGCCACCGTTGCCTTCGCCCTCGCTCGGATCCTCTGTCCACGCGCGCATCCCCTTGGACAGCTGCGCGCACACAAGGCACGGGTGTCGTGTGAGTGCTTGTGGTGCGGAACGATGGGGGGGGGGTGCTAGGCAGGGATGTACGAAGGTGGTTTCAAAAACTCGAACCACACGCAGCACTCACACACACGCACACACACACGCACACACACACGCACACATACGCAGCACACACACACACACACACACACACACACACACACACACACACACACACACACACACACACACACACACACACAGCACGCACGCACACACACACACACACGCACACACACAGCGCGCACACATACACAGCACGCACAAATACGCACACACACATACGCACCAGAGCTGTCGCGTCGAAGGAGCCCTTGGACATGATCCTGCCCATGGTGGCCATCTCGCCACCGGGCACGGGCGCCGACCACGACGTGCGCTTGGAGCCGCCGACAAACGTCAGCTTGTCCTGCGCGCTGCTCGCTGCACCGCTCTTGAGTAGCACCTCGTAGATGTGCGACGTGGCCTCGCTGGTGAAGCCAATGGATGTGTACAGCTCACGTGCGGGATCGTGCTCGTCCTGGTACAGCAGCACCTCCTTGATGCCGTGCTCCTTGCGCAGGTGCTTGATGGCGTTGCACAGCAGCGCTTTGCCAAACCCGCGCCCGCGGTACCCGCGTGGGGTCACGCACGTGGTCACGCGCGCCTTGCTCGACGACACGTGGCGGATCATGCAGAAGGAGACCATGTGGTCCCTGTACACGTGTGCAAACAGCCACCCGTGCGACGCGGCGTCACGGAGGGCCTCGCGGCACTGCGTGCTGATGGGCGCAAAGTCACCCCACCGCTCGTTGAGTGCGTCGTAGAACTTCTCCGTGTATGACTCGGCCTCGTTTGCCTCGACGGTGATGAGCTTGCCCGGTGCAAGCTTCTTGTTGTTCTTCAGTTTCTTGAGCACCAGCACGTCGCGCGTGTGGGAATGCGTCACGCGCTCGGCCCAGTCCGACATCTCCAGAGCGGCGTCCGCAAACGCCCGCGCCGTAATCGGGTCGGAGATGACCGCCTCCATGTGTTGCTCCTACATGTAAAACGACGACAAGAGACGAGGACGATGACGACGATGATAAGGAGGACGATGACGACGATGATAAGATGGGGGGGGGGGGTGCAGGATAATAGAACATAGAACAAGGGTAACACGCAACGTTGTAACCCGTGTTGTTGAGGTGAAAGCAAGGAGCAAGACAGCAGCGTGTATTGATCAAGGCACTGATCAAATCATGGAAGGGAGCAGGGGGAGGGAAACAAAGGGGAAGACCAGGGCCCTGTCAAGGCAATTGCGATGACAACAACCACGAGTGATGATGCATGCAAAAACACAGAAACATGCGTCGTGGAGGTGTCACGTACCCGCTCCTTCATCTCCTGGATCAGGGCTGAGACTGCTGGCTCGTAGATGTCCGGCTCCTGGGAGAGGCGGGCAACGTGCATGCCATGCCAAGCGCTGTATTGCAGGACGACGAGGACGATGCCGCCAACACTCCCATCGGAATCGCCAAGCGAGACGGTCGCCAGAAGCAGGGACGAAGGCCGGTGGTCTGGCAGATCCTCCAGTACGGGCAAGAGGCCCAACATGCCGCTGTGCTGCAGTTCATCCCTGCCAATGAGCGCCAAAACGACACGCACAAAGCACGTGAGCGTGCGTGGATGCGTGGATGTGATGGTACGTGTTTGTGTTTGGTTTGCATTGTTCGTATTGGCGATGCATGTCTTGCGTGGTTGGTATTGCCTGTACTGTGGCGATGTGGGGGAATGAAGCGAGGTGAGTCGGAGCAAGAACAGAGGACCATGGGGGTCCGACCTGAGTAGGAAGCGCTCGACGCGCTCAATGAACACGAGAGGGTCTTGGAACACCTCCACCTTCATGGTTCTCTGCTGCTGTGTGGCTGCGACTGTGTGGGTGGGGATGCGATTGGGGGGGGGGGGGTGTTGTTGTTGGGTGGAGGAGTGAGGTTGTGTTGAATGTGCATCGAATCATTGACAGGGACATCTTAACTTTATGGATTTGCTGACACACAACAAGAAGGACAAGAAGCAAGCAAGAGAGGAAGGACGCGAGCGGCCAATATGACGACGACGGCAGGGACAAAGGCGTATGACGGCTTGATTCCGGAAGGCAGATTGGACGAGCTCGTGCGGGCATGGCTGGCAGAGGACGTGCCTTCCTTTGACATTGGGGGCGCTGTGGTTGGCACGAAACAGGAAACCGCCACCCTCCTCTGCAAGTCCCCGGGTGTCTTGGCTGGCAGGCCATTCTTTGATGCCGTCTTCCGCCACCTCGGCTGCAAGTCAGTGCAATGCGTGTATGTGTGTGTGTGTGTGTGTGTGTGTGCGTGCGTGTGTGTGTGATGCGTGTGTGTGTGTGTGCGGGTTGTGCATACGCGTGTGCGATGCGTGTGTGTTCACTGTGTGCACATGTACATCGTTGGTGAATAGGGTGACATGGGAGCGGGAAGAAGGCGAGATGCTGGCTCCCAGTCCTGGTGAACGCATCCAAGTCGCAACCGTCCAAGGCGAGGTGTGTACGTGTGTGTGTGTGTGTGTGTGTGTGTGTGTCGCTGTGGTGTGGCTGCTTTGGCAAGTTGAATGTTTTCTCGGCACGCTTCCCCCTGCTTTCTTTAGTCACCCTCATCCCCTTTCTCCTTTCATCTGTGCAGGCTCGGAAGATCTTGCTGGGGGAGCGCGTGGCCCTCAACACGCTGGCACGTGCCTCCGGCATTGCCACTCGATCACGCAAGATGATCTCGCTCAAGGAGGAAAAGGGCTGGAAGGGCGTCGTGGCTGGAACGCGAAAGACAACCCCAGGTGCTGCTGCTGCTGCCGCTGCTGTTGTTGTTGCTGCTGCTGCTGCTGCTGCTGCTGTTGTTGTTGTTGTTGTTGTTGTTGTTGTTGTTGTTGTTGTTGTTGTTGTTGTTGTTGTTGTTGTTGTTGTTGTTGTTGTTGTTGTTGTTGTTGTTGTTGTTGTTGTTGTTGTTGTGACACTGCGCGCCGACGTGCGTGCCTGCTTGTTTCTCACTGTGCAACTCAATCCTTGGTCTGCCTCGTCCTGTTTGTGTGTTTGCATAACGCCACAGGGTTTCGCCTGGTAGAGAAGCACGCCATGCTGGGTGAGCTGCGATGGGCCGCAAACAAACCTGTGCTCTGTTTGTGCTGGATGCGTAATTCATGCTTTTATGTGTCCCACGATCACTTGTGCTGACATGACAAATGGTGCTGCTGCTATGTTGTGCTTGTATGTTTTGCTTGCTTGTTCTTTTGTTTGTTTGTTTGTCAGTTGGTGGCGCTGACTGCCACCGCATGGACCTCTCCTCCATGGTCATGCTCAAGGACAACCACATCTGGAGCCAAGGTGCGTGCCTGTGTGTGTGTGTGTGTGTGTGAATGTATTTGCGTGTGATTTGGCCACAGATCGCATCCTCTCCTCGATTACCTTTGATCCTAACGTTGCCATGACCATGCTCACAACATCATTTAACAATTACTGCGCACCAGGCTCCATCCCTGCTGCTGTGAGCAAGGCGCGAGACATGGCCGGCTTCTCTGTCAAGATTGAGGTTGAATGCGGCACTGAGGAGGAGGCCCGCGAAGCCATCGGTGTGTGTATGTGTGTGTGTGTGTGTATGTGTGTGTGTGTGTGTGTATGTGTGTGTGTGTGTGTGTGTGTGTGTGTGTGTGTGTGTGTGTGCGAGGGATCCAACACCCAGCCTGTGTGAGTTTCCTCGCGCCATCACCTCGACAACCTCCAGTGTTCCTTGCACCCACCCACCCCCACCACCGCTACCTCCACTTGTGTAACACCCCCGCCCCCGCCCCACCCCCTGCAGCTGCTGGTGCGGATGTGGTGATGCTGGACAACTTTTCACCAGACGATCTTGGCTGCGCGGCCGCTCGCATCAAGGACGACCACCCGCACATCATCGTGGAGGGCAGTGGCGGCATCACCGTCGAGTCCATCCAGAGCTACATGCACCCATGTATGTATGCATGCATGTATATATGCGTGTACGTGTTGCACGTGTGTGTGTGACGGTGTGATGGTGTGTGATGGTGTGTGTGTGTATGTATGCATGTATGTATGCATGCATGTCTGTTCGAGCATCTGCGTCCATTGTTTGTGTGCTCGTCTGTCTTTACCACCTTCGTTCTCCGCCCGTCTGTCTGTCTGTGTGTGTGTGTGTGTGTGTGTTTGTGACGCTGGTCGTCCTTGCATGCACTCCTCCCTCGCCACCAGACTATACCAAAGCATCCCTTGTGCTCACCCATCACCATCACCACCACCACCCTCGCCCCCACTCACAGCTGTGGATGTGCTGAGCACTTCGTGGATCCACCAAGGCACCCCCCACGTCGACTTCTCCCTCAAGATCAACCACTAGCCGCACACACGCATGCACACATGCCCATGTTCCTTGTCAATGAATATGACTTTGCGTGATGATGGTGGTAATTGTTGTGCGTGACGCGCCACTCCCATGCGTGCCAAACGCGCTTGCACAGCTTTCCCTTCATCCTGCTATGTTGCCCCCATCCCCCCCCCACCCCCTTCTCTCTCTCTTCTGTCGGGCATGCACAGTAGGGATCTGCTTGCTCTCAGTCAATGACATTTACGCGATTGAAACTCGCATGAACACACGTGCGCGCACATCGCGCAGGCGGACAGGGCGAATGCGAGAACAGAGATGAAAGAGGAGGGGGGAGGAAAGGAACCTTGTACAAAGAGAGAAAGAGGGGAAGGAAGGAGGAGAGGGACCGGTGCACACAACAAGCACCCACACACCCACACACCCACACATCCACACATCCACACACCCACACATCCACACACCCACACACACACACACCAAGCGAAGCTGGGGAGCAATGAGGAGCTAGTAGCGGTACTTGGTCGAATAGTCCTTTGGCGACACGACGAGACCTCGGCCCTTTCGTGCTCCTCTGTACACCGTCTGCACGTTTGTTTGGGGGGGGGGGAAGGAGGGATGGATGTGAGAGATATGAATGGCGAGAGGCAAGAACAGACGCAGAAGAACAGGGGTAGAAGCAGCGACGAAAAAACAAGTGGGGTCATGCAGGTTGCATCAGCACACACGCACAAGCACAAGCACAAGCACAAGCACAAGCACACACGCACAAGCACAAGCACAAGCACAAGCACAAGCACACGCACACGCACACGCACACGCACACGCACACGCACACGCACACACACACACACACACACACACAAGCACACGCACACACAAGCACACGCACACACAAGCACACGCACAAGCACAAGCACGCACACATGCGAACGCACCTCCACGATGTCGATGAGTTCTTGCTCGTCTGTAAAGGCCCAGTTGATCTTGTTGTTGTTACCCGTGCCCAGATCAATCATGATGTGCTTGTTCCGGAAGAAGAACATCAACGTGCAAGGGTCATACAACTCGTACCTGCGTGGTGGGTGGCGCAAGAGCGCAGCAAAGCGTTAGCTTGGACACGGCACGATGACAGGGATAACAGGGGATAACGGCTGCGCACACGTGGGGACGTCCATACATACATTTGCTCGTTTACACGCACCCACTCACGTACAAATGCATACGCACGCGCATGCGTATCCAACGCGCACGCACGCACGGTGAGGCAACTTACATGGAGTTGAAGTCGGGAACCTTGGTGATGTCGACAAGGTAGATGACCGCAAAGTTCTTGACCTTCTCTGAAATCTTGAACAGGCACTCGTCCGTCTTCATGCAGTCGGGGTCCCAGTCGTGTCCAAAGCGGATGATGACCACCCGGTCTTCCTCCGCCATGATGGCTTGGTCGACCTGCCATCCGTTCTTGAGATGCGTCAGCATGTACGACATGGTGGCGGTCGAACGAAGCGGGCGCAGTCACAGTCCAACAAGTTGAAGTTGAGGCGGGTTGGGGAGGATGAGTAGAGGAGGTCGGCTGGCTGTCTGGCAGCTGGGAGTGTGTGCGGAGCAGGAGCAGGAGGATGGAAGAGGTGTGGCTGGTGTGTCTGGAGGAGTGTGGAGAACGGGTACGACGAACGAAGGAAATGGCTGCACAAGTCCTTGCGTGCTTGCTTGCTTGCTTGCTGACTCGTTGCTCGCTTGCTTGCTTGCTTGCTTGCTTGCTTCAGGCGGTTCCACGTCAACACTCTCAACCACACACACAACGTTCGCACAGCAAACACAGCAAGAGGAGAACGAAGGGGAAAGGCCAAAACGAGCAACGCCACAGACCAGTCCTTTGCCGCGAAATTCAAAAATGGTGGCGTCGGCAAGTTGTGTATGTGTGTAGCGTGTGTGCAGTGAACGGGTGAAGTTGTGACAGGTGTGAAGTGCTAGGCTTCAAAGAGCTTCTCTTTGAAGCTTTGAAGTGAAACTCGAGAGCTGGAGGGGATGCAGAGACACACGCACAAGCCCTTTTTGTGTTTCTTGCACGCACTCTCACTTCGGCAATTCTGTTACCATAGTGTGAGGAGTCAAGGGTGGAATGCAAGGATGGGGGGAGTCCTCTCAAGCCTAACATTTTGCTTTCCTCGAACAACAACAGGCAATCAACAAACACCGCAATACGCGTTGTTCTCTTTTCGATGAACTGCTGGATCACATGCAAGCATGCACTTTTTGAACAATGTGCTCAACCATGCCAACATCCCCCCCGGCTTAAATCCACCCACAGGATTACTGTTCGCATGCTGGATTTGATTGGTTGTATGTCTGTTTATGTTCTCTCGTAACGCAGCAGCACCAAACAAACCACTGCAGCCCCATCGAACAGCACACGCAAATGGCCGAGACAGCGGCCAGCGCGTTGGTGCACTAGAAGGCGCCAAGCTCTGACAACTTCTGGTGCGCTGCAGTGTAGTCTGCAAAGAACTTGGCCTGCACACACGAAGCAAGGCGTCGGCCACATTTTGCACACACACAACACACACACAGACACACACACACACACACACACACACAGACACACAAAGAAGCACGTGTGAGTGGAGGCAGCGGCAAGCGGGTTGTTTCGCATACAACCATGACTGCAAACCAATAACCTCAAAGACCACGACAACACCCTGTGTTATTCAACCCCCCCCCCTCTTATCCTGGCAAACAAAAGCAACGCCACCAACCCACACCATCCCTCGCCCCACCTGGTCCTGCGCGTAGAGATTGACAAACTTGGCCATGGTTGGCGAGTCCAGCAGGGCCTTGTCGGTTGGCAGGACAAGCAGGCCGTCCTTGGGATTGAGCAGGTTCGAGAAGTAACTGTTGTCAAACCTGCAACAGCGCACGCACAAGCAGGATGTGCGTGTGTGCGTGTGTGTGCGCGCGTGTGTGTGTGTGCGTACGTGCGTGCGTGTGCGCGTGCGTGTGAGGGACCTGCTCGATGCGTTCGATACATTCGATATTCGATGTGTTGGATGCGGTGCAGTAACTCCGAAACGCAAGCATACAATGCACACACACACACACACACACACACACACACACACACACACACACACACACACACACACACACACAC